TAATCTGGAGGTTACCAGAGCATGGATAGCGGACCCCACAAGTTGCTATTGCTGATCAGAAATGAAAGAAGTGTAATTTTAGAAAAAGAGCTATCATGATATAGATATCATGCTATCATAGCATGAAATGCACATGGTGTGGTGGTGTAGCACTTCACAATTCTATAGTTGTTTTAACACATGATTCCATAAAGGATTCTATAGGGCATGAGGCCCTATCACTTGGAACACCTAGAAGTCCAGATGAATTTTAAAAATGAGGTTAACAAATCTTTAATATCCCTTTGCTTCTACTGGATAAATTGTTCAGATTCCTAAAGATGTATTTTGTTTAATCTTGTTCACTATAATTATAATTCACGCTTCACTTTAGGCTCATAAATTATCAATATTGAAATAGAGTATGGAAAAGATTTTTATTGTTAACAAAGTACCGCAGTGTAACAGAATCTTGAAAGCCTGCCAAAGCAATTATCCAGATCAGTTATACCTCATGTAAATACAGTGGAGCTATTCTGAACCTCTTTCTCATGCTTACCTTTCCTCTGGATGAAGGATTTCTATTTGTCAGTGTCTTCTTTCCCTCTCCATCTTCCTGGGATCTACTAAACAGTCTATCATAGCAGTTTACACAAGCTAAATTGAGACACAATTCAAGAAGTGTGTGAAAGTTGGTGTTTTTTTTCCAAACCACTCTGAAATAACCCAATCCCTAATCCTGTATTGTTCTACAAAGTTGAAGAACGCTCTCAATCAACTCTGAAATAATTATCCCTTCCCATTTTGCAAGTGAAACTTCCTTTGTATCTTGATGGATGGATAAATGCACTCCAGAGAAAATTTTGTTTATAAAAAAGTAACTATAACATCAGCATTCACTCCCTGAACAGTTTTAAAGTTTAATTTTTTTAAAAGCTTATTTTTACAGTAACAGGAAGAAGGTTCTATAAAATCTGTATATTGTTTCTATGAATTAAGCAAATCTGCTAAATGAATTCCATATCTGATTCTCTTGAAGAAGCAAACAACTATAGAGACAATTAAGCCTATTTATATTAGCAGAGATTCAATTCTACATGTATGTTTTATTTTTCTGCATATGATAGACCAACTTATTTGTCTTTGTCTTGTAGTGCTGGAGCTGGAAGAACAGGTACATTCATAGCACTCAGCAATATTTTGGAGCGAGTTAAAGCTGAGGGGCTCTTAGATGTATTTCAAGCTGTGAAAAGTTTACGGCTGCAAAGACCTCATATGGTGCAAACACTGGTAGGTTGCTTCACCACAATTTATTATATGGCACTAATATTTTTAGAGTAAAATAGAGGCTTTATCTATATTCATACAATAGAATTGGTTTGCTCAAGCACAGTGACTGAGCCTCAGTTGATGATGGTAACCATGACTGCAGGGATTACTAACCAATGCTGTCACACATTAGGACCATATCATTTAATGACAGAAATTCCCAATTGCCGTTGTAAATTGAGGAGTACTTGTTCTGACCCAGGCTGGACAGAATCACAAAATAGACTCCTTGTCCCAAAAAAACCCCATTTTTATTTGGTTAATGTGAATGCCTGACATTCACACCCAGAAAAGTTCCAGCAAATAGCCTTCCAAGGTTTAACTGCACAAACAGACCTTATCAGTCCTTGGATAGTTGCCAGGCGAAAAGCTTCCAGTCGCAATGCTGTAAAAGGAAATACTTGACACAGAATCTCTGTGAGCCATGAACTCAGATAAGCAAATCTTCACAATAGTGAGTGAACTAATTGTCTCTTGTAAACACCCCTCCCCTTTTGCTCCTGTTTATTCCATATGGGAGCAGCCATTCAGTATCCACTTGTGGCTTTTCTTCTGACTCCAGTTCCTTAGTTGTTCCCTTCTCCTGACAGCTCTGTGCATGCACGCATCTGGAACTGGCTCCAGTTGTTCTTCTTCCCTGCTAACCTCCAACTCCGAAGGCAGCTGATAAATGTCATACGGCCCTGGCCCCTTTCTTCCACCGACACAGAGCACCCATGAGAGCCTTCCCCAGACTCCAGGACTGGCCCAAGTTCCTCTCCAACCTCCTAACTGTCCCAGTCTGCCACCAGCTCTGCTGGCAGCTGACAGGCCACAACAGTACCTGTAAAAATTACCTCAAAATTCCTCCCCAATGTAAAAATACCCAGTTGTAGAATGCCTAAGAGGTTATGTTAGGATACAATTTTAGGTTCCCTTATTTTGCTAGCATGCTCAAAAAGAGCTGGAAACCAGTTATGAATAAGAGAAAGGATTAAAACATCTAATCAGTTTTTATCCTGGCCAGCAGCAAAAATTAGAACTGGTCTTTTGTTTGTTCTGTGAAAACTTGTTCTAAAGTGAGTAGTGAATTTGCATTAAAAGGCTCAAATGTAGGTCAATAAACTGAAAATACATTTATATTAATGAAAACATAAAAGTACCAGGATTCATTTCTCATTCAAATAGTTCTTCAAAGGAAATAATTGTTTTGTTCATTGTTTTACACATAGTAGTTTTAGTCTAGGCAGTGTCACTTGATAGGTATTTGTGCTGAAACATGTAACAAAAAGTGAAAAACATTTTATTTGTATGATATTTTATCATGATTCTACTTTTGAAGTTAATTCCAGTTCAACAGAGTTCAAACATAATGTCTCTTTTTTTGCACCTGCAGGAACAGTATGAATTCTGCTACAAAGTGGTACAAGATTTCATTGATATATTTTCTGATTATGCCAATTTCAAGTGAAAATGCCTGCCATTTTTTAAAAATTTAATCATCTGTACAAAGATTTGTAAATCATGTTAATTTATTTCCATTTTTTTAAAAAAACACTTCTAAATGTACATATGATTATGTATGTTTTGCTTTGAATGTGTCTTCAGGTGTATGTCTGACTCAAATAAGCTTCAACCCTGATCCAAAGGAGTATGCACAGACTCTTTTCATACAATAAAATAAACTTCTAGTCAGCTGTTTGGTGGCAAAAGGAAAGAGCTGATTTATGGGATTTGTATAGTTTTGAAAGGATAATATATTCACCCCAACTGGTTGATAAAGGAGGAAAGCTGTATACACAGAATATAGTTGCATGTTGGACTACTCATTCAGCTGAAGAAATATTTGCAAAAAACTGTGTCTGCATGTGTAACAACCCTATCTAGGTCATTGCTTTGTGTTTTTGTTGGTTTTAATTTTAAATAACTGAGGCCCATGTACAATACAATACAGTATATACTGTTGTGAATACAGGCACAATTCAGCCTATGTTAGGCATATTTAAGACTTACTGATTTCAGTGGGTTTAATAAGCATATGCTTAAATATTTCCCATTGAAATTAATGGGACTGAGTCCAGTTAAACGTTTGAAAGCACTGATTCTGAAATTAAACTGATGTAGATCTGGTCAGTGGCTTGGATAACAGCCCGCTGATCACTCTGAGCCCATGTAAGAGCAAAATATATTAATAGAACTCCAAATCTCTTTAATTTTGACTGAATTTTTCCTATTATTTGCCTAAATGCATGAAAAATTGTGATTCATCTCTAATGTTGTTTGAAATTATATATTTTTATTTATTGTATATAGTCCCTAATATTTATATAAAAAAGGAAAAGGAGTACATTTTTAGAGCTAAAAATCATCTTGCTATCATTGAACAATATTTTATTTAAAGCAAGCATCATTTAATAATTACACCACAAAGATATTATACCAACCAGACTGAAAGGAATATGAGCTTTCTATGATAGACAGAAAAAATTATTCAGTCTTCATTTCAATAAGATTTATACCTGTTTCTTGTTTTCTTATGTTGATGCTATTGTGGCCATTAACATATTTGATCCTCATACAACATCACTAATATTAATGTGGAGAATTCACTGAGATAGATAATATACAGAGTGTGCTAGAGTATAAGAATATTCTAAATATTTATTTTATCAATACCAATTAGAATCATTTGCCTTATTGGTACTGTTTGGATCTTTATAATTAAGCACAATTAGAATAGAGAGGAACACAAATCTTCCATAAGCAACAACTAAGATATAATTTAAACTTTTAAAAAAATGTATATTTTTAAAAATAGGACTCTAGGAAATTCTGTTTTAATGCAAATTCTCAATTAATACCATAGTGTAAATATGGAGTTTCTTAAATTTAACTAAGTAGTCTAAAAATATAATTTTAAGTCATCATTTTATTGAATTAAGAGAAAATATATTTAACTTACAAAGCAGCTGATCAATATTTGATACTATTTTGTATCAAGAAATTTTGTTTTGTTGTCATAAATAGCTATAAAGCCAGAAATTACATTTATATAAAGAAAAATGTATCTCTTTAGTAAGCAAGCTAAATTAATTCATCATTTGCTACTAAAGCTAATAAACAGCTATCATTTTTAACTTGAATGTCAAATATTCAATATTCAATTCACAGTAAAGCCCTTAATTATTTGAGTTCTTTTGGTATACAAAGCACATTAATAAAATAACAATTCCCTGCACTGTATCCCCAAATATACCGTTGCTCCTTATCACCAGAGTGCATATGTAGTTCTAAAATGAGCAAAGGTCTTATTTCTATTGTAATGTGGCCTACATGAATCTAGAACTTATAAGCACCATGTAGATACCAGAATACCTACAGGTGTTCTGGGTGGGCTATCCACGTGCAAACACTCATGTACTAAAAAGCACAAAACCCAATCATGTTGATAATACTTGTATAAAAGTTGTACCCTATAGTTCCATCTTACTGACTTGTGCAAGATTTCAAAGTTCTTACAACAGATGAAACGTTTTCTTGATATTAGCAAAGACAAACAAGAAAAACAAAATAGCATAAGCCTGGATCCAATTATGATTAACTCCACCATTTTCAGGAAATAGCAGAGGCTGCTACAAGAAGGAAGAAGATAAATTATTTTTATACTTTCTACCTTATAGTTTTTCATTCCCCATACATTTTTTTAAAATATTCTGGAACAATGTAGGGAATAGTAAGAATAAAGATGGAAATATTCTTAGAAATGTCCACCCATTCCTTCCTCTGTGGAGCAACTCATAAAAACTTTGCTCTGCAGAAATATGGATCATACCTAAAGTGTCAAAAAAACCTAGGATGACAGTGAAGTAAAAAAATAGAACATTTTATTTCCCCATGTTTTAAAAGGTATATATCTAAAAGCACAAACATAATTTATATAAATTTATATACAAATGTCTATATAACATGCAATAGATCTGGCTTGCCTGGTTGTTTTATGAATTATAAATGCCTTATTAAAATTATGTAGATTGCAAAATGATCTTTCTACTTTAACTATTGTTCTTTGTAATTCTACATACTTTTAAATTACTTCTGAAAGGAAAAATGAATACTTAGTAACCCAGAAGATAAACAAAATTTCCATATCAAACCAATTACTTTTGATTGCTAAACTGTTTATGTTAGCAGCTTAGATATTGTTTTTAAGGACAACTGCTTACATCTGGGGAAAAAATCTTACATACATACAGTTGTATGCACATATGGAATTTTATGAAGTGACTTATATTAACAATTCTAACCTCAAAAAGTGTTATGTTGTTAAGAAATATTGAGCAAATTTTCTATACTAGTATCTGATAGAATTTTTAAAAACTTTAGAAAAATAAATTTTCCAATTTGATATAGATGAAAATTCATTGAGTCCAAAAGATGAACAATTTCATAAGCTGCTTTGGAAAATGCTTCTAGCAACCTTAGAAATATCAAACATTTTCTACATGAGTTAAATAGAAATTAACCCTGACTTTTTTTTTGTCCCAGCTACTATTTTGTAAAAGGTTCATCTTATATAGATTATGGATAGGATGTGGACCTGAGATTAACATCAGAAATTATTTAAGCAACTTGAAATCTTGAATGAAATAAATATCTTTCAGCCATCTTGATTCCTCAGTTCCTTCCTATGGATCTATCCAAATACAGTAGAAACTTTACAACTTTATATAAAACAGTCACCAGTTTAATCTACTTTTGAGGTGTCAAATTCTGTTTCATTGAGAGCCACATCAGGGTTGTGTTTGACCTCAGGGAGCCAGGGTCCATGTGATCAGGGTGGGCATGGCCAGCTCAATGTCACTTGGGTTGGGGGCATCTGTGGTGGCCTGAGCGCTCTGCCAGTGAAAACGGGCTCCTAAGCTCTGTTTTCCGCTGCAATGGCCTCCTGCAACCCTCTGCCAGCGAAAACAGAGCTTGGGAGGACCCCTCGCTGGCAGAGGATTGCAGGAGGCATGGCAGCTGAAAACAGAGCTGGGGAGCCCGTTTCACTGGCAGAAGCACTGCAGGCCAGTCCTTCGCTGTTTCGAGGACAACTCCATGGGCCAGATCTAAGTACCCCGCAGGCCAGATCTGGCCCATGGATCTTGAGTTTGACACCCCTCATCTACTTCATATCTCTAGATATTTCCAGGCTACTACAACTGGCTCATGTTTATTCATCCATGCCCATAACAGTGAGGGGTGTTTGGTGCTTTCTGAGCTTGGTTGTTTTCTTGCAGACGTTTCATTATCCAAACTAGGTAACATCATCAATGCTAGTAAGGGAGCCTTACTAGCACTCTTACTAGCACACATGATACCTAATTTAAATAATGAAACATCTGCAAGAAAACAACCATGCTGAGAGAGCACCAAAGACCCCTCATTCCAACCCTGGGCTTCAAATATTCTTCTTTATCGGTACCATACCAGTGAGTTCTTGCTGCTTCCTATATACACTGGCACCACCAGATGTATAGTACTTTATCTCCTACTCAAACATTAATGATTGTATCATTGTTGGAAAAATTAACACATTTGGCGGAAACCACATTTGGAAAGTTCTATAACATAACTGCACCTATGTGAATCATTTAAGAGACAGCATTACACATTGTGTTTAAATTACCCATTAAAAACTGAGAAAAATCCTGCATGTTGTAGACATATGCCTCATTGTTAAAAAAAAACCCAGAACTGTTATTCTATAAAATAATATAGAAACAAAATCTGTCAAAAATGCACATAAGGTCCATGAATGAAAAGGACTGCTTTTAACTGAGGAGACTATCTGCAGCTCAGGGTTGAACTGTGTACTTGTTCTGTCTGATCTTAATTCTGTGCTTGATGATATTTCATTTTCTGCCTAGGTAGATAACATCTTCAGTGCTAGAAGGGAGTAGAGTTTCTATGTTATATACAATACAATCAGTGTTGGTGGGATTTTTTCCCCCTTGTAGTTCTGTTTATTGTCAGAAATGGTGTAGGATCTCCTGTTTTTTGGGGGGAGGGGGTTGGACTAGATGACTTACAACATGGGTGTCAAACTTGAGATGTCATGATGTCATCTCGTGATGTATCGTGACTTTTTTTCCTTCGTTAAACTGGGGTTGGATGTGATAAGCGCCTGACACATCCAGGCTGTGGGCTGCGAGTTTCGAGGTCCCTTCCAACTCTGTTAATCTGAATTGGTAGTTCCTTGATTAGGTCATTTTTTTTTTTTTTGAAAATTTTATTTGGGTTTTCACAAAAAAATAATAATACAAATAAAACATCTTTTTTTGAAAATAGCATGGTCTCCGGGTTATCACTTCTTCATACAGACACAAACTCAATTTCATGCTCATTTTTGTGTTCTATTCCATATCTTATTACTGTTTTACATTTTCTACGTAGTTTCCCCCTCTTTTAATTTTCTCAACTTTATTTTGATTATCTCATCTAAATTCAAATCATTATATTTATACTTTTGTCTGTCCTGTTTCAATTTCATATTATCTTTTCTCATTAAACAGATTTTCCCCTGTAGCTACTAATTGGAGTATGACACCTTTATATCTTTTAATTTTATCAATTCAACTCTTATTTAAACTTCAATGTATACCTTTAAGATTATAACATTCAATATAATACATAACTTCCAATTGAATTCTGCTTGGTACATTCTTAAAATACACACTATATTCTTAAAAAAAATTAGGTCATTTTTTATTGCTTGATTGTTTGTCTGGTTTTAATCCTGGTGTTTATCCCTGCTGATTGCTACTGAAGAGGTATTTGGTCTTTTTGTTTCTTTTTTATTGTCTCTTCTGAATGGTATGAAAACTACTGTATATAAATAGAGAGCAACCTCACTTATTCTAGAACTGAAGATGTCATCTATTCAAGTAACAAAATGTCTGCAAGCAAACAACAGAATACTTCCAGTTAGTGCAATATAGGTAGTAATTCAAAATATAAATCCAAATAAACTCTCGTAACACATGAAATTTATTCTGCAATAGCTGATTTTAAATAATTATGTTGGATTCTATGAGAGGTGGGGAAACAGAATATTTAACAGAATACTCTTTCTTGGATATTGTCCAGTTTATTTGGTTCTGTGTAATTCCATTTGTTGCCAATATTTCTCTGTATAAAAAAATAATTCTGAATCTAACAATACAGGTAGTCCTAGATTTACAACCACATTGAGCCCAAAATTTTTGTTGTTAAGTGAGACATTTGTTAAGTGAGTTTTGCCACATTTATGACCTTTCTTGCCAAAGTTGTTAAGTGAATCATTACAGTTGTTAAGTTAGCAGTAAGATAGTTAAATGAATCTGACTTCCCTATTGATTTTGCTTGTCAGAAGGTTGCAAAAGATGATCACATGACCCCAGGATACTGCAACCTTC